AAGTATCCATGGGTAGACTTTAAATTTTTTTATGGGGGGGTGCCTATAGAAATCACAGGACAACTTGCAAGAATCCCAGCACTCATTGTGGAAGAAGAGAACTGACTCCTAAAAATTGTCCTCTGACCTCCTTCTCTCTCTCTCTCTCTCTCTCTCTCTCTCTCTCTCTCTCTCTCTCTCTCTCCTCTCATACAGGAACACAAATAAATAGAAACAAAAATGAATTTAACACAGTTTCTTTTGTTTGAACATAGTGCCTAGAAAAAAGATTACGGGCGATAAAGACATTATACATTAATAAAATATTCAAAAAGAACACTAAGAAAAATTATAAACACACTTGTTAATAAGCGACCATTAAAAAATATAAACTGGCCTGGTGTGGTGGCATACACCTTTGATCCCAGCACTCAAGAGGCAGGGGCAGGTGGATCTCTGTGAGTTCTAGGCCAGCCTGGTCTACACAGCAAGTTCCAGCCAGTCAGGGATACACAATGAGAGCCTGTCTCAAAAAAAAAAAAAAAAAAAAAAAAAAAAAAGGTGGGAGAGGCTGGAGAGATGCCTTGGCAGTAACAGCACTAACTTCTTCCAGAGGATATGGGTTTGGTTTCCAGCACCCACATAGCAGCTCACAACCATCAGTACTCCAGTTCCAGGGGATCTAATGCCCACTTTTGGCCTCTGTGGGCACTGCATGCATGTGGTTCACTTACCTCACCTGCAGGAAAAACACTCATAAACATAAAACAAGAGCTGGGCGTGGTGGTGCATGCCTTTAATCCCAGTACTTGCAAGGCAGAGGCAAGCAGATCTCTGTGAGTTCAAGGCCGGCCTGGTCTACATAGAGAGTTCCAGGCCAGCTGGAACTATAGGGAAACCTTGTCTCAAAAAGACCAAAAAAAAAAAAAAAAAAAAAAAAAAAAAAAAAAAAAATTAACATATGAAACAGAAGAAAACAGATTTTTTTTTTTTTTTCTTCCAGAACTGGGGCTTGAACCTAGGGCCTCACACATATGCTAGGTGAATCCTCTACCACTGAGCTCTTAGCCCTTTATTTTGCATTTTTAATTTTGGCACAAAGTCTTGCTAAGTTACCCAGGGAGACCTTGAGCTTTTGATCCTCCTGCCTCAACCCCAGCTAGGATTACAGGTCTGTGCCACCAGGCCTGGCAAAAGCAGAAAACTCTTAATGACTGGGAGTTTGAGGGTACTCAAGTTCTGACACCAAAAGCATGATCTGAAAAAGAAAAAACTGTTAAGTTAGACTTCATTAAAATGAAAAGAACTTCTACTCTATGAAAGATACTTTGTTAAAAGGATAAAAAGAAGGTGAAAGTCCAAGAAAATATTTACAAATCATATATCTGACAAAGGAACTGTATCTAGAATATATAAAGAACACTCAAATCTCAATAGAAAGAAAATAGATGATGATTCAGTTAAAAAAATATGCTAAAGACTTGAATAGACATTTCACCAGAGGGAACTAAATACTGGGAACATTGCCCAACATTATTAGCTATTAGAGAAATGTAAATTAAAATGCTAATGGAAAGCAGGCATGGGGCTCAAACTTGTAATCTCAGCACTTAGAAGACAGACAGGAGAAATGCCCCAAGTCTGAGACCAGCTGGCTTGTACTGTGAATTCTAGGCCATCCTGGGCTAGAGTGAGACCCTGTCTTGATCCAAACCAAATCAAATGAACAGTGGGATAACTACGTACCTATTAGGACGATGGAAATAAAAGGTAGTGATAATTTGCAAGTACTGAGGATGTAGAGAACTGGAAACTCTCATACTAGCTGCTGGAGATGAAAAATGGTGAACCCATTCTGGAAAACGGCTTGGTAGTTGAAGAATTAACTTGAACATACAACTAACATATGGCCCAGAAATCTCACTTCTAGTTATTTACCCTAGAGATATAAGAACTGTGTTCACACAAAATCTTGCATATGAATGTTTTTTGCAGCTCTATTCATAACAGCGAAAGCTGGGAGTGATTCAATGTCCAACAGGCTAGAAAACTATTGTATACTTACATGGGATACTATTTATCAGTAAGGATTAGACTATTGATGCATGCAACAGCATGGCTAAATCTAAATGGCATTATGCTATGTGAAATCATACATACTGTATGACTCCATTTACATGACGTTCTGGGAAAGGTACAGTTAGTGATTGTGAACATACCAGTGGTTGCTGGGGATTAGGGAGGCGGAAGGTGTGCCCACAAAGGGATGGCACGTGGTAAGTTTCTTTTTTTCTTTTTTTTTGAGACAGGGTCTCCCTATGTACCTCAGGCTGGCTTGGAATCCACTATGTAGATCAGGCTGCCCTGAAACTCACAGAGATCCACCTGCCTCTGTCTCCTGAGCGTTGGGATTAAAGGTATGTACCACAAAGCCCATCTTAATTCACCTTGCTCTTCCCCAGGCTCACTTTAAACATAAATTTAAGGCCAGCCTAGGCAATTTAGCAAGACCCTGTGTCAATAAACATAAATCACAGCTAGGAAACAGCAGAACCAAAATTTGGATCCAGAATCGTTCAATGTCCAAGTCCTGGACCCACGAAAAAAATGCAGGTTTCCAGTCTCACCCAGAGGTGATTCATCGTAATCATAGGGCCAGGGGTCCACAAACCCCGCAGGTGACGGTAGGGACCTCACTGGGCCAGACATCGAGGCTGCCTCTGGATCTCAGGTAGAGGTAGACAGGGGAAGGGGCAGGTTTCAATCTGGTTGCAAATGACCTGGGGCCTGAGGGACAAGCAAACCGGTGAGCTGAGCTGCACGTGCCGTCGGGGGTCCCCAGTCCGCGGCGCCTTGTCCCCCTTCCCCACAGAGGAGCGCCAGAGTTCGGGATTGGCCGACACTCAAATCCACCGCACCTCCCTCCTTCCAAGGACTTTCACTTTCCGCCTTTCTCAAACCTCGCAGCCCCGCCCCCACCGGAGACTAAATACCTGCGTGGCCCCTGCACGGGGGACCGGAAGTCGGACAGCTGAGCTGCGCCCCCCCCCCCCCCGGGCGGAAGCGGTGGCGCAGGTGGACGACGCCGCGGCTCGCTTCTCGCTGTCGGGCCGGGGCTCGCCGGGTACCTGCCGCCCACCTGCGTGCCGGGCCAGCCTTTGCACTCGCCGCGCGACCGCGACGCCGGGTCAGCGAAGGGTTAAGGCACTCGGCCCGTCCCGTGTCCCGTGCCCCCCCCAGCCTCCCCCACCCTTGGAAAGTCCCCTAAATGACGTTTCAACCCGACAATTAAAAAAAGAGTTTAATTATAGAGACAGCTCTGGGAGCAGGAACCGACCCGGGCGGTCGGCGGGGCGGGTAAACAACCCTGGAGCGAGAAGGCCAGGCCGCCGCCCGCGGAGCCCGGGCCCGGGAAGCGGGGGAGGGGCGCCTGCCGGCGCTGGGAAAGCTCGGGAAGTTCGAGGAATCTCCGCTTTCCTTGAGAAAAGCCACTTTTTGTCAAAAGGCAGCTGGGAGTTCCGGGCCCGGTGATGGAGCGCCTGGAAGGTACCGCAGCCGCCCGAGGACAGCCACGCGGCTGGGAGTCGGGGGACCGCCAGGGGTGGGGGGACGTCCCCTTCCCCCTCTGCACCCGTCCCCGTCCCTTTCCTCTCCACCCCGCCCTGTCCCCCCAGCTGAGCTTCGCAAACACGCCGGAGTTAAAAGTCCAGCCGGCCTTTTCTGCGGAGGGCGGGTGGTGAGGAATGAAAAGCCGAAATAGCGTCACATTAGGACTCAGACTAACCTTGTGGTTTTAACGCACACCCTGCTCTGTCGTGAAATCTGGAACTCATTACCTCATCACCAAGAAACTGCACGAACCCCCAAGCCCCCTTGGAACTAGGGAAAGGAACGAGCAAATATCCCTTCAAAAAAAGAAACCTATATACCCGAATGATTTAAATTAAGGTGGATGGAAGTTATTTCCCTTTCTG